CCGTACCCAGAACCGGGCTGTCCGTACCCAGAACCGGGCTCCCCGTACCCAGAACCGGGCTCCCCGTACCCAGAACCGGGATTCCCGTACCCAGAACCGGGCTCCCCGTACCCAGAACCGGGCTCCCCATGCCCAGAACCGGGATTCCCGTAACCAGAACCGGGCTGTTCGTACCCAGAACCGGGCTCCCCGTACCCAGAACCGGGCTCTCCATGCCCAGAACCGGGCTCTCGGCTCCTCCCAGCGCCCCGTGCCCATCCTCATCCTCCGGTGCCGCTCCGCAGGCCTCCCTCACCGTGAAGGTTCCCGAGCCGCGCCGGTTCCTGCGCCCGGATCCCGACCCCAAACCCTGAGGATCCGTCTGGGAATCCGCCCGGAGCCCCTTCCCGAGCCGCTCTCCAGCCGGGACGGGATTGCTCCGCTCCAGGGCCGCCATCCCGGCTGGAATTCCCCGGGAATTGCCCACCCTCTGCCCAGCGGTTTGGCCACGAGGCTGCCGCAGGTACGGATAAAATAAATCTGGCAAAAATCCCGGGGAGCGCCGTCAGCGAGCTTTGGTTTGACGGGGAGTTTGGGAATCCGACTGGGAATCTGGGAATCCGACTGGGAATCTGGGAATCCACCTGGGAATCTGGGAATCCACCTGGGAATCCATCTGGGAATCCATCTGGGAATCTGGGAATCCACCTGGGAATCCACCTGGGAATCCACCTGGGAATCTGGGAATCCACCTGGGAATCCACCTGGGAATCCATCTGGGAATCTGGGAATCCACCTGGGAATCTGGGAATCCGGGAATCCATCTGGGAATCCATCTGGGAATCCACCTGGGAATCTGGGAATCCATCTGGGAATCTCGGAATCCATCTGGGAATCCATCTGGGAATCAGTCTAGGAATCAGTCTGGGAATCCATCTGGGAATCTGGGAATGAGTCTGGGAATCCGCCGGGGAATCTGGGAATCCGTCTGGGAATCCGGGAATGAGTCTGGGAATCTGGGAATCAGACTGGGAATCAGTCCAGGAATCCATCTGGGAATCTGGGAATCCATCTGGGAATGAGTCTGGGAATCCATCTGGGAATCCACCGGGGAATCTGGGAATCAGTCTGGGAATCCGTCTGAGAATCAGTCTGGGAATCCGTTTGGGAATCTATTTGGGAATCAGACTGGGTATCAGTCCAGGGATCCATCAGGGAATCTGGGAATCCATCTGGGAATCCATCTGGGAATGAGTCTGGGAATCAGACTGGGAATCCATTTGGGAATCAGTCTGGGAATGAGTCTGGGAATGAGTCTGGGAATCCACCGGGGAATCCACCGGGGAATCTGGGAATGAGTCTGGGAATCTGTTTGAGAACCCATTTGGGAATCCATCTGGGAATGAGTCTGGGAATCCATTTGGGAATCCACCAGGGAATCTGGGAATCAGTCTGGGAATCTGTTTGAGAACCCATTTGGGAACCCATCTGGGGATGAGTCTGGGAATCCATTTGGGAATCCACCAGGGAATCTGGGAATCAGTCTGGGAATCTGTTTGAGAACCCATTTGGGAACCCATCTGGGGATGAGTCTGGGAATCCATTTGGGAATCCACCAGGGAATCTGGGAATCCCCCTGGGAATCCGTCTGGGAATCTGGGAATCCCCCTGGGAACGGGTCTGCGCAGGGATCGTCCCCTGGCGGTGCCGAGGACATCACGCGCGGCCCTCAGCGTTTATTCCAAACACCGGCTCCGGGGAGAGGCACAAACCATCGGATCCCGCGGATCCGGCACGGAACGAGAGGCAAAAACCAGCGGGAAAAGCCTCCCTGGGAACCCCCGGGAGCAGCTCCCGCGCCCCTCCCCCGGCCCAGGGACCACCCAGCCCCCTCCTCTCCCGGGGAGAGCGTTCCAGAATGTTCTGGAAAGCCGCGGGGCTCGGCCGGCCCCGGTGAGCCCTGGAGGGGCGAAGCAGCGGCCGGAGCAATCGCTGTGCCCGGCAGTCCCTGAGGTAGGATGGGGAGCGGCTCCGGAAGATCCCGGGAATCTCCCGCGAAGATCTCGGGAATCTCCTGGGAAGATCCTGGGAATCTCCCGGGAATCTCCTGGGAAGATCTCGGGAATCTCCAGGGAATCTCCTGGGAATCTCTCGGGAATCTCCCGGGAATCTCCCGGGAAGATCCTGGGAATCTCTCAGGAATTTCTCGGGAATCTCCTGGGAATCTCTTGGGAATCTCCTGGAAATCTCTCAGGAATCTCTCAGGAATCTCCTGGGAATCTCTCAGGAATCTCTTGGGAATCTCCTGGGAATCTCTTGGGAATCTCCCGGGAATCTCTCGGGAATTTCCCGGGAATCTCCTGGGAATCCCTCGGGAATCTCTAAGGAATCTCCTGGGAATCTCCTGGGAATTTCTCAGGAATCTCCTGGGAATCTACTGAGAATCTCTCAGGAATCTCCCGAGATTCTCCCGGGAATCTTTTGGGAATCTCCTGGGAATCTCCCGGGAATCTCTTGGGAATCTCCCGGGAATCTCTCAGGAATCTCTCGGGAATCTCCCAGGAATCTCCCAGGAATCTCTCGGGAATCTCCCGGGAATCTCTCAGGAATCTCCCAGGAATCTCCCAGGAATCTCTCAGGAATCTCCCAGGAATCTCTCAGGAATCTCCCGGGAATTTCTCAGGAATCTCCCGGGAATCTCCCGGGAATCTCTCGGGAATCTCCCGGGAATCTCCCAGGAATCTCCCGGGAATCTGGGAGCCGCCACATGCAGGAGCAGCCACATGCTGGGGGAACGGCGAGCGCGGAACGGCTCCCGCGGCTCGTCCCGCCGGGAAAACTCCGAACGAAAACCTCCGCCCCTTCCCGGCGGAGCGCCGCCAGGAAAACACCGGGAAGTCTCTCCCCGCCGGAATTCCGGGGGTTCCGCCGGAATCCCGGGATTCAGTAGAAGTGTTTGCGGCTCTGCTCCTGCCACTTGTTGTAGACGATGATGCCGATGACGATGGCGAAGACGAGGGCCACCAGCGAGAAGAAGACGATGAGGAACAGGGCCAGGCCGCTCATGGGCTCCAGCGGTGCCTCCACTGCGGGAAACGGAGAGAGGAGACCTGAAAACCCCGGATTTGGGATGGGAATTTGGGAATTTGGGATGGGAATTTGGGAATTTGGGAATTTGGGATGGGAATTTGGGAATTTGGGAATTTGGGAATTTGGGATGGGAATTTGGGAATTTGGGGGTTTGGGAATGTGGGAGTTTGACGAGGGCCACCAGGGAGAAGAAGACGATGAGGAACAGGGCCAGGCCGCTCATGGGCTCCAGCGGCGCCTCCACTGCGGGAAACGGAGAGAGGAACCCTGAAAACCCCGGATTTGGGATGGGAATTTGGGAATTTGGGATGGGAATTTGGGAATTTGGGAGTTTGGGATGGGAATTTGGGAGTTTGGGATAAGATTTTGGGATGAGTGTTTGGGATTTTAGGATGGGATTTTGGGGATGGGAGTGCAGGATTTTGGGAGGGGATTTTGGGATAAGAGTTTGGGATTTTGGGATGGGATTTTGGGATAAGAGTTTGGGATTCTGGGATGGGATTTTGGGATAAGATTCTAGGATGAGATTTAGGATGGGATTTTGGGATTTTGGGATGGGATTTTGGGATGGCAGTTTGTGATTTTGGGATGGGATTTTGGGACAGGAATTTGTGATTTTGGGATGGGATTTTGTGATTTTGGGATGGGATTTTGTGATTTTGGGATGGGATTTTGGGATGGCAGTTTGGGATTCTGGGATGGGATTTTGGGATGGGATTTTGGGATTTTGGGATGGGATTTTGGGATGGCAGTTTGTGATTTTGGGATGGGAGTTTGGAATTTTGGGATGGGATTTTGGGACAGGAATTTGTGATTTTGGGATGGGATTTTGTGATTTTGGGATGGGATTTTGGGATGGCAGTTTGGGATTCTGGGATGGGATTTTGGGATGGGATTTTGGGATTTTGGGATGGGATTTTGGGATGGCAGTTTGTGATTTTGGGATGGGAGTTTGGAATTTTGGGATGGGATTTTGGGACAGGAATTTGTGATTTTGGGATGGGATTTTGTGATTTTGGGATGGGATTTTGGGATGGCAGTTTGGGATTTTGGGATGGGATTTTGGGATGGCAGTTTGGGATTTTGGGATGTGATTTTGTGATTTTGGGATGGGATTTTTGGACGGCAGTTTGGGATTCTGGGATGGGATTTTGGGATAAGATTCTAGGATGAGATTTAGGATGGGATTTTGGGATTTTGGGATGGGATTTTGGGATGGCAGTTTGGGATTTTGGGATGTGATTTTGTGATTTTGGGATGGGATTTTTGGACGGCAGTTTGGGATTCTGGGATGGGATTTTAGGATAAGATTATAGGATGAGATTTAGGATGGGATTTTGGGATTTTGGGATGGGATTTTTGGACGGCAGTTTGGGATTCTGGGATGGGATTTTAGGATAAGATTCTAGGATGAGATTTAGGATGGGATTTTGGGATTTTGGGATGGGATCCTGACATTCCATCACAGTCCAAACCTCCGGCGTGACCCCAAACCCGGGGTCCATTTCCCCTCCCAACCCCCCCCCCCAACCCCCGCCGCTCCCACCCGGCCCAGCCCCCACTCACTCCCCGGCAGCCTCAGGTTATCCACCACGGGCAGGAAAACTTCCCGATCCCGCTTTTCCTCCTCCGGCGTCCGCTCCACCGTCAGCTGGTACAGCTTCAGCGAGATGATGTCGTGGTTGTCTGGGAAAAGCGGCAGAAAAGTTGGGAATTCTGCGGGAGGGAGCCTTAAATCCCAAAACTCAAATCCAGGCTCATTCCAAGATTTTATTCCAGGCTCATCCTGGTTTTATTCCAGGCTCATCCCAGTTTATTTCATGCTCATCCCACCCAGTTTATTCCAGGCTCATCCCAGTTTATTCCAGGCTTATCCTGGTTTTATTCCAGGCTCATCCTGGTTTTATTCCAGGCTCATCCTGGTTTTATTCCAGGCTCATCCTGGTTTTATTCCAGGCTCATCCTGGTTTTATTCCAGGCTCATCCTGGTTTAATTCCAGGCTCATCCCAGTTTATTTCAGGCTCATCCCAAGATTTTATTCCAGGCTCCAGGGAATGGTCACCAGATCCAAGGAATGGTCACCTGCAGCTCCCAAATCCAAGGAATGGTCACCAAATCCAGGGAATGATCACCAAATCCAGGGAATGGTCACCAAATCCAGGGAATGGTCACCAAATCCAAGAATGGTCACCAAATCCAGGGAATGGTCACCAAATCCAGGGAATGGTCACCAAATCCAGGGAATGGTCACCAAATCCAAGGAATGATCACCAAACCCAAGGAATGGTCACCAAATCCAGGGAATGGTCACCAAGGGCTCCCAAATCCTGGGAATGGTCACCAAACCCAAGGAATGATCACCAAACCCAAGGAATGGTCACCAAACCCAAGGAATGGCTCCCAGATCCAGGGAATGGTCACCAAATCCAGGGAATGGTCACCAAATCCAGGGAATGATCACCAAACCCAAGGAATGGTCACCAAATTCAAGGAACGGTCACCAAATCCAAGGAATAGTCACCAAATCCAGGGAATGGTCACCAAATCCAGGGAATGGTCACCAAATTCA